TAGAGCCCAAGTAACAGGAACATTTCAAAAGATCCTGTGTTGCAAGCCCTTGGGTGCATGACCATGGAGGTCCAGCATGGCCTGAAAGTATCTGTGGTGAGAAATGGTTTTAGCCTGTGGAAGCTTCAGCAAATCCAGATAAGACTGTTTCAGTGCAGACCTTTAGGGTTTTGAAATGTGCTGGTGCCTCCTGCATCATCCCAGTCTAATACTGGACCCTAGTTAAGAGACAAAACTTCTGATGATGGGACACAGCTCTGGCCTGGAGCTGCCCATTATGACATAGGTACTGATGTGATCCCATTATATGATACGGGAGTAAGGTATTGTGAGATGGGAGTAATACGTTTGAAATAGAGCTCAAGCAGATCTGGGAGGTATGAATATATTTCATAAAGAGCTGTCCCAGAGTCTCATTGTCACCGACATCATGTCAGTACCTCTATCTCATGATGCTTCTCTCTCGTTCATACTTATAGCCCCATGGGAGATCTCATACGATTGACTCATGGAGGAGGAAAGAATTCAAACTCTTAAAAAGATGGGTCAGGCTGATGTGTTAGGTAGATAATGAAGGTTAGTAATGACAAAATCCATCCTGTGGGTAGACTTGAAGAACAGTGTAATTGTTATTCATTTAGAGAGAGAGGTGGCTTCAGGCATGGATATATATTGAGTATTAGCAAAGTGAATGATCTGGAAGAAATTAGACTAGAAGATTGGATTCAAGGAGTCTGGACAAGGGTATGGGGATGGGCTTATAGGAGTTAGCACAAATACCTTTATGCCTGAGCCATGCTCATCAGAAAACAAATACTGCAGAAAAGGCCCTTTACAACCAGATGGACTTTATTACCTGCCCATGGATATTAGCCAGACTCTCAGACCCCAGAGTTTGTGAAATAGACCCAAGAATAGAGTGGCCTTGGTGATAGACACAGGGTTTATACTTGAACCTAAAGGCATGGCCTCCCTCTCCAAGACTGATATAGCCACTATTACTGCTAAATTAACATTGCATTTACATTGGCAATGGACTCAAATATTATACCATTCTGTGGGGGAGACTGAGCAACTATTTGGTGGCAGGTCAATTAAGTTGGATCCCTATGACCTTGGAGAAGGCAACAGTTAATACTGGAATATGAAACATAGTTTGAATTTGTGTTTGCTTTTTCTGCTCACAATGCCACTGCTAGCTCCCACATCTGATGGCTCACAGAATGCCTGATCCAATGATATGCTGTCCCACATGACATTGCTCCAACCAAAGGACACTTGCTACATCAAATGAGCTGCAATACGAGTTTGTAATCACGGCACTCCATTCTGCCCCTCCCCCACCCCACCTCCTACAAAAAGCCACTGACCTGGTAGAACAGTGGAATAATATTCACCTTGAAAGACTCAGCTAAGGTACCAACTTGGGCAAAAAACCTCCAGGATGAAGTTTATATACTAAATCAACAGCTCATATCAGATGTTGTGCCTGTCATAGCCAGAATAACCACCTCTAAAAGAAAGGGTGGGCCCTTATATCCAATCACAATGCCCTACTTGGAGATCCCTTCCTGATATCCTTTCCCTATAACCTTAGACTTTGCCAGTTAGAATACTGATTCTTAGAGTAGGGGCAGAGGCAGTTCTGTCAGAGGACCCAGTAAGAGTCCCAATTAACTGGGAGTTGTGATTGATTTTGCATGTGATATGACCACCATACATTTCTAACTAAATGGACCAGGAGAGATAGTAAGAGGTACTATGCTCATCACCGTAAGGAAACAGGGCTCCTATGTCACAATCTGAGCCAAGAAAAATATGACTAGAACTCAAAGATGTTCCATGTCCAGATAATTGGGGAACTGCCACAACTAAAATTCCGTGAAAGAAAGAAAACTAAGAGCCTAATCTCTTGGGACTAAGATCTAGATAACCTCACAAGGCAGCATCCCAGATCAGCTGAAATGCCAGTAGAGTCTGAGGCAAATCTGGAATGAGTGGTAGAAAAGATGGGTGATCAACATCAATTAAGGCTCCCCAAATCAGCGCGAGTATCAACTATTGTACTTGGTGTACTGCTTCTATTTAAATCTTTGGGGAATTGCAACTGGCCATCGCTTGGAAGGACTGTACTTGAACTTCCTTCTTGGGGAAGATGAAGAATGTTGTTCTATATGCTATCTAGATTTCATAAAATGATGCAGGTGAACCTGAATTATGCAAGAAGTTTGCCTGTCCTGGGCCCAGTTTATGTGCTTTTCTGTGCCTACTCAAAGAGTCCAAAATGCAGTACTTGGATGCAATCTCAAAAATGACAGAATGATCTCTGTTCGTTTCCAAGGCAAACCATTCAATAT